ACATCCTGCGTGGGCCACATGGACACGAAGGGCCTGATGAAGGCCGTGGGGGAGGAGGCGCTGCTGCAGCATGTGAGTCGGGGTCCCCCATTCCCTGGAGCCCCCGGGGCTGCCTGCAGTGAGCAGCCCAGTGCAGGCTCGCCAGCGCCTTGTCTACCCTCCAGGTTCTCTCCGTCAATGAGGAAGGCCAGAAGAGATGTGAAGGGAACACCAGGCAGTTTGGCCGCCCCATCAGGCAAGAACCCGCCAGGGAACATGCCCCTGAACAGTACAGACAGCCCAGGCTCGCTAAGCATGGCCCTTCACAGAGGTGTCCTCGCTTGATCCTCACGGCGATCCTGTGAGGCAGGGACCGTGCCGTCCCGTCCTTTATAGGGGGAAACTGAGGCTCAGAGTAGTGATGCCCTCCCCAGGTTGCTAAGCGGGTAAGTGGCAGAGCTCATGCCATGGGTCCTCCTGCCCTTTGCCTTTTGGGACACCCCCGCTCCCCTAAGTGTCACCCTGACTCTATCTCCCAGGCGTGCACACTCACAGCTGTCCTGGCCCATCCGGGAACCCACCGTTCCCCTCTGCCCCCCCCTTCCATGCCTGAGCCCAGTTTCCCACACCAGCACTCACAGCACCGCCACCCCCAAAGGCACTGGACCTCTCCCCTCTGTAGAGCGGGACCAGTATCACCAGCTCTAGGTCTTCTTCATGGCTTGTCAGAAACAGTAACTGTTAGGAGATGCATCTAGAACAGTGATGGCGAACCTTTTGAGCTCGGCGCATCAGCATTTTGAAAAACCCTAACTTAACTCTGGTGCTGTGTCACATATAGAAATTTTTTGATCTTTGCAACCATAGTAAAACAAAGACTTATATTTTGATATTTATTTTATATATTTAAATGCCATTTAACAAAGAAAAATCAACCAAAAAAATGAGTTTGCGTATCACACGCACATCATCACTGACCTAGAACTTACTGTGTAGCAGGTGCTCTCCTCAGCACCTTGATCCCTGGCATCCTTATCCCAGCCCCAGGAGGGAGGAGCAGGCAGGACCTGCTACTGAAGCTTTTATCCCAAGTCCAGACCTTGATGAAAATTACCTTCCGTTGCCATTGGATGCTTTCCTAAGGGGACATCTCCTGGGTGGGGTGGAGAATGGATCCCTCAGGGTCCTGGCCGAGGCAGAGTTCATCTGGGGTGGCTCAGATGACAGGGCCGCAGGATGTGGCGGTGGTCTGGCAGGGTGAAGGGAACAAAGCTGGGGTGGAGAGGCTTCCAGGGACGAGTGCAGCAGTAAAACTGTCATTTTCCTGATGAATTAGTACTAATACAATGGAGGCACAGAGAGGTTAGGTAACCTGGTCAAGGCCACACAGCAGGTGGCAAACGTAGGAATGCTTGAACTCTATTTTGTTATCAGCATCTTTGCAGCAATCAGTAGTAATAAGCAGCTTTCACTGAGTGGGTGCTGTGTGCCTGCCCTTTACATATACGTCTCATTTAGTCCTAACAACAGCTGCTTGAGCTGGAGACTGTTACTGTCATAGCCACTGTCCTGAGGAGGAGGAAGTTGCCCAGGTCACACAGCTTTCAAGGGTGAAGGTGACACTGGAATTTGGGGGCTCAGCCTCCGAGCCCACACTCTGAGCCTCTTTGCCACGTGTCCTCACCACGGTGGCAGGATCCAGGAGTGTCCTGTGGGCCCCGCCCCTTCTGCTCCCAGCCCAGCCTCACTGAGCCTGTCCTTCCCTGCCTGTCAGCCCCTGGGTCCCTGAAGCGGGGCTGGGGACCTTGAGAGGTGGCAGGGCAAGGTGGAGTGAGGGCTCGTGTCTTGCAGCTCCTGGACCTGCCTGGTAGACCTGGAAGGGCTCAACATGCGGCACCTGTGGCGGCCGGGGGTGAAGGCCCTCCTGCGGATGATTGAGGTGGTGGAGGACCACTACCCCGAGACGCTGGGCCGGCTGCTCATCGTGCGCGCCCCCCGCGTCTTCCCTGTGCTCTGGACGCTGGTAAGAGCAGGGGCCGGAGATGGGAGGGGTCCCTCTGTGAGCGGCCCTGCCTGTTTGTCCGGCGTCTTTTCTTCTAACTCAGACACCATCAAGTTCACAACTGGAAAGTGCACCATTCCGTGATTTTTAGTGTCTTCAGAGCTGTGCAGCCAGCACCACTACCTAATTCTAGGCCGCTTTCATCTCCCCAAAGGGAAACCGTCAGCAGTCACTGCCACCCTCCTCCCCCGGCTCCTGACAACCACGAACCTACTTTGTGTCTCTATGGGTTTACGTATTCGAGATATTTCATATCAAAGGAATCAAACTGGATGAGGTTATCTGCACCTGATTCCCCACTCAGCATAATGTTTTCAGGCTCATCCACGGGGCAGTATTTCTCAGGACTTCATTTCCTTTTATGTTTGAAATATTCCACTGTACGGATAGAGCACATTTTGTGTAACCTTTGTCCTGCTTCGGGGACACCAGCGTCACACTCAGAATTGGACAGGCTTCCCAGGACCCCTGTGAGCAGGTTCTGAGGATCCTATGCTACCGGGATATTCAAACGTTTTGCCCACGACCCATAGTAAGAAATACACTTTATACTGCAGCCCTGCACATGCATGCGTGCACACACACACACACACACACACGCACACACACAGGCTAGTCACCATGTACTAAATTGATTTCACAACCACTGACAGGTTGTCACTTGCAGTTGAAAACCGCTGTCCTGAGGTCCCTCCAGACCCTACAGACTCAGAGTTAGCATCTTACCCAGTGCCAGTGTGTGTGTGTGTGTGTGTGTGTACGCATGTCCCCACATTCAGTGCCCACAAAAACCTGAGAAGCACTGCTGTAAGTAGAGGTTTGATCAGAATAGAGATTCAAGAGTTTAAAGTTAAACAGACTCAATGTTTTACTAAGCACCTACTATGTGCCAGGCACGTCTCCAGGCCTTGAGGATTCTTAGTGCACAAGCCACTGTGTTTCCCCCTCAACATCATGGGGCAGGGAAAGTTAAATCAGATAACCCTACACTAGTAAGTAACGCTACATGGCTCCCAGTGACATGGGCGTGAGGACAGTTAGGGTTCTTGGGGAGACTAAGCCAGGCAGGGGTTGGTGCAGGAGGATAGTTTGGATTGGGGGACTGAGGAAGGTCCCGCTGAGAAGGCAACTTGTGCTGAGACCTGAGGAGGGAGCAGGAGTCCGGGAGGGCAGGGCAGAGGGAAGGGCATGGCAGGTGACCTGCACAGCATGGGCAAGGGCCCGGAGGCCGATGCGCTTTGGAAGAACTGAAAAACCGTGCCGGGGGCTGGAGCCAAAAGGAGCAAAGAGGCCGGCTGCCCCGAGGAGCTGGGAAGACAGATGCTCAGGGACCAGTGCTGCCGGGCCCAGGCTGTGGCGATGAGGGGACCTTATCCTGGGGCAGCAGGGAGCCCTGGGGGCTTGTCAGCCAGAGAGGATGAGCAGACTTCTGGGGCAAAAACTTCTCTGGCTTCTGGGACTAAGTCAAAGCTGGGCTGGGGAGCAGGAGCTGTGGGAGGGACAGGCAGGACCTGCTACTAAAGCTTTTTATCCCCAAATGTCCGGATCTTTGTAAAAACTGCATTCCTTTTGCTGCTGGAGATTTCCTAAGAGGACGTATAGTGGGTGGGGGTGGAAGCCAGTCAGTTGGGGTCCTGGCTGAAAAGCAGATTCACCCGATGGCGCAAATGCAGGGGTGGGGGGACAGGAAGGAGCCCCTTGCAGTGGTGTGAGTGAGATGGAGAGGCCCCTAGGGACTAGCCGCTGCAGCAAGCCCTGACCACCCAGGGATGCAGGGACAAGGGGAGGGGATAGCCTGTCACCAGAGCCCCTGAGAGCTGGAACAGGGTGAGGGTGGCGGCTGCCAGAGGAGCTGTGGCTTCCAGGGGCACCGAGGTGGGGGAGGGGTAGGAGAAGAAGAACCCGCCCATCTCCCTCCTTCCTTCCTTCCTTCCTTCCTTCCTTCCTTCTTTCCTTCCTTCCTTCCTTTCTTCCTCTTTCCACCCCTCCTTCCCCACCTATTTACTGAACCCGATACCACACCAGCACTGAGGATGTCGTGAAAAACCTGATTGACATGCAGCTTAGAGTGCAGTGTTCAGATTCCATCTGGGATAAACAAAACGTGGACATCCATACGGTGGAAGAGTATTCAGCCACAAAAAGGAAGCACGGATAATGCTTCCTTTTTATAACTCATGGAGGCACCACGAATACATCATGCTAAATGAAAGAAGCCAGACATAAAAGGCCTCATACCGTATCCGTTTACACAAAAAGCCCAGAACAGCCAAAACTGTAGAGACAGGAAGCAGACTGTGGTTTCCAGGGGCTGGGGGTTGGGGGGGGGATGGGACAGGGAGTGACTGTTCATGGGGGTGGGGGTGTCCTTCTTTGGGGAATTAGAAAATGTCTTGGAATTAGATAGAGGTGACAGGTGCATGACATACTGAATGAGCTAAAAGCCACTGAATGATTCCCTTTAATGTGCTTAATTCTGTGGTGTGCAAATTACTTCTCAATTAAAAAACTTTTCATCTTGCTCCATCTCCCCCATTTCAGATCAGCCCCTTCATCAATGAGAACACCCGGCAGAAGTTCCTCATCTACAGTGGCAGCAATTACCCCGGAGGCCTTGTCGACTACCTGGATAAAGACGTGATCCCCGACTTCCTTGGGGGGGAATGCCTGGTGAGGCTGCGGTGGGTAGGACTGGAGGAGGGGCAGTGTGTGGCCTCGAGGACCTGGGCGTGCTGGGGTAGGGCTTGTTCTGGAAGCTGCCCCAAAGAGAGGCGACTCCTCCCTGAAGGAGGCAGCCTTCCCTTGCTTCTTTCAAACGCAGTGAGGGAGTTTCCAGAAGTCCAGAGACCAGGCCAGGCAAAGGCTTACCCACCCTGCATTCCTCATCCAAGCTAGGCAGCTAGGATGCAGTCAGACTTACTGTTTGCTATAGGGGGATGTGACTCAAATGGCCCAGAGGCCTGGACCCCACAGCCAGTGTACCCAAAGGAATTTATCCCCAACTCACAACCACAGGGGTGAGATACTAGGCATGACCCTGACCACGGCTGTCTTATCTCATCTGGCTGTGGGAGGGCAGGCCCCTCTCCCTTCTCTAACAGAAATACCAAGCAGCACATTCGCATGATTTGGGGATAAAAAGCAGATTTCCTAGGAATTTTGCCAAACTTGCCTGTTTTCTCCACTTGTCCTGATATGTCTGCATGACTGACATTAGCAAACGGGCCTGCAAGACCAGCATAGTGGGAAGCAGCGCACACCTGGGGGCCTGATATGGGCTTGTGCCCTGGCTAAGCCACTTTCTGCTGCCTTACTTCTCTGAGCCTCTGTTTTCCTCCTCTGTGAAATGGGAAGAATAATAGTTCCCTCTGCTTTGTTGTGGGTCAGGTGGTTACCGGTAAATGGGGTCAAGGAAGCCCAGTGCCCAGCTCACGAAGAGATTCCTGTTGTAAGTGTGGTTTCAGGGGGCACAGAGCCTGACTGGGCCCTAACCTACCACCTTTGTCTTTGTACCCCAGTGTAATGTCCCCGAAGGAGGGCTGGTCCCCAAGTCCCTCTATCTGACGGAAGAGGACCAGGAGCATACAGAACAGCTGCACGAGTGGCGAGAGACCTACCAGCCGGCCAGTGTGCTCCGCGGGGCTCCCCATGAGGTGCTGGGGCCCTGGGCTGGGGTGTCATTATAGGTCAGGGTCTCCCAGAGTAGAGGGTTCTCATGCTAGCGATTTGCTGAGGGCAAGTTCATAGGAGAACCCTGTAAGGAGAGGTGTGGGCACGATGGATGTGGGCAAGAATTGAAGCTAAGAGCCTGTTTCAGCCACAGTCTATCCCAGCCCGACCTGTGGGGAGGGCTGGACATGCAGGGCCCGGCAGTAAGCTCTAACCACCTGTACCCTCTTGTGTGTCAGTCAGGGGCTGTGGCCCAGCACCCAGGCAGGGTGGACCTCCCAGGCATTTCAGTTAGAGGGGGATCCATTCTCAGACCTTGCCTGTCCCCATGCAGGTTGCGGTGGAGATTCTGGAGGGGGAATCAGTCATCACCTGGGACTTCGACATCCTACGAGGGGATGTGGTGTTCAGCCTGTGCTACGCTAAGCAGGCCCCCCAGGCGGGCCCCCGGGAGCCTGGGGCCAGGGCCAGCGGGCAGCTGATGGACAAAGGGGGGACCCAGGGTGCAGATTACAGCCCTGTGGAGGCCCCCCTCATCTGTCGGGAAGGGGAGAGCATTCAGGTTCGAATTCCTTGATTCATTTATTCATTCATCACGCAGGACTGAGTGTTCACTGTGTGTCAGGGTTCGGGGGCACAGCAGTGGACAAACAGGCCCTGGTCCTCGGCCTCAGGGACCCTGTGGGACAGTGGGGGAGGAAGACAGGTCCTGGCAGACCCAGGACCCGGACCTCAGAACCCCAGCCAGAACCCCCTGCCACTCATGCCAAAGATACAGGTCTCCAGGCTCCAAGCCAGGCGGGGTGACTCAGAGCCTGTGGGTGTAGGGTTTGCGATCTGCACGCCTCCTTCTCTCCGGGTGATCGCTGACTCACAGTCAAGTTCCAGAACTGGCACAGCACAGAAGCTGGAGGTCTGCAAACAGAACGCGGATCTGGCCCCAAACATGAGCCACCCTGCTGACCTCACATCCTCCACGAGACCAGGGCTTGCAGGTCGAACGTCACAGGCCCCCAAACACGTACTCACCCCCCACACACATACATGCACTCACACACACACACACACACACACACACACACACACACACACTCGCTCACACATGTGCTCACATAAGCACTCACACGTACATGCACACACTCACACACGCTCACACAAGCACTTGAGAGCAATGCAGAACTTCCTGAAGGTTCCATGAGGAGTCTACCACACCAGCACCCCCAGGGTCCCACTGAACATCCATGCCCTTCCCTGAAGAAGTTGCTCTTCTCATAACAGCTAACACCCCTCTTTCTTGATCTCTCTTGGTTCTCAATAAGCTCTAACCACCTGTTTAGCTCCCTCCCAAGTCCCTCTCCAGAACTCCTCAGTGTGCAAAGCCCACTCAACAGAACAAAGCCCAACACAATCCAGGCAGTTAACCAGGCTACACCTCAGCTGTCCTACAGCCCCACTCCCAGTCCTGGGCCCTCTCCCCCAGATTCAGAGGAGACTCTCAGGTGCCAGGGATCTGGGGGTAACAGTGGAGGGGAGAAATGATGGCTCCGGGAAGCGCTTAGAGGAAGGAAGTGCTGGTGGGCAGGTTGAGAAGGGGGCTCTGTCCCCAGGAGGACCAGAGCCTCAGGCGTGGCTGCTGTTTCAGGGCTCCCACGTGACCCGGTGGCCCGGCATCTATCTGCTCCAGTGGCAAGTGCATGGCCCCCCTGGCAATGTGGTGGAGGACGTCCTGACGCCCCTGCACAGCCCTGGCCCCAGGTGCAAACTCCTCTACTACTATGAGGTGCTGGCGTCTGAGGACTTCAGGTAGGAGGGGCTGGGATTCAGCTCCTGGGCGGGAAGGGCCCCAACTCCCCTCTAGGCCAGGCTCGGGGCATTGCATTCACCTCCCATTTGCCTCCAGCCTCTCCAGAGTGGGGCACTGGTACCGTTAAACATTCCCCCTGGTTCAGCACTTTAGTGTGAGAAATTGGACACTACGTCAAAACTGTCAAAACTGCCTCAGCGGCAGAACCTTCCCCTTGAAACCCTGGACAGAAGCCCAACATACCAGATGGACTAGTGGACTAGTGGGGGGAGCCTGAGGTCCTGCTATTTGGACCTCCCTTCACGTCTAGAATTTCATAAAACAGCGTTCGGACTGTTCTAGAACAGTCTACAACAGTGCCTCACAGACAACTCTTATCAAGTGGTGCCTCAAAGAGACAGGGAAATACAATGGCTGAGACCCCCAGCACTTCCTGGTTGCTGTGTGACCTTGGGGAAGTCACTTCACCTCTCTCAGCTTCGAACTGGAGCCCCAGTGTTGTGGGTTGTCATGAGATGAAATGGTGGAGGGAGCCTGCCCTCCCCCTGCGCGTTCAGTAAGCACCCGATAACAGAAAGAAAAAAAAAAGCAGAGGGCGAGGAGGTGCAGCAGGTGGCTTCTTGAGGCCTTGCATTGTATCTTTTAAAAATGCATGTGATTTTTGCATTCTGCTTCATGAAGTGCCTGTTAGTTTCTGTCTAAAAATAATGCTTTAGAAGCGGGTCTGAGATGATGGTGTAGGAGGACACAGAACTCACCACCTCCGCCACCTCCTATGAGCACATTGGAAAGTCACCTACACTTAGAGCAAATCCTCCTGAGAGACACTGAGGGCTGATTGAGCAGCTTCTGGGCAACAAAAGAGAGGACGAGAGACGCCTAGAGGCTGGGGAACCACAAGAGCTCTCGGAGATCTGAGGGAACTCTTTCGGATTGGAGGTGCTGGTGAGCGCCATTGTTTACACCCCCTCCACTAGATGGCACCGGGGAGCTCTCTCCAGGAGTTGTAGCCGACCTGCAAGGCAAGGGCATGCCTTTCGGGCCACTCTGCTCTGGAGCTCCCTCCGTGGGACCAACAGGGTGCACATCTGCATAACCAGATCCACATGGCACTGCCACACACACACCAGGCCACTCCTCCTGGAGCCAGAGAGGCTCAGAAATGTAGACACAGGCATTTGGGGGCTGCTGCCTCTAGGAGGGTAGGTGGGGAAGGAGGAGTGGGCTGCATACTGCTCACTAGCCTGTCTGGTCAACATAGGGGATCAGGATGCCCTGCCCCTCATTAGCCTCATGAAAGAACCAGTTTCAAGGGCTGTTTCTTGGCCACCCTCAGTGGGCAGGTGCCAGGTTGGGCCTTGAGGGGTGGGGGACAGATAGACAGAGTCTGCTGTCATGGAGCAGGAGACCACATCATCACAACTGTGTGTAATTATGAGGAGTGATGGATGCCACGAAGGTATTCCAGCCTGGGGTCCTTATCTGAGGTCACACAGCCAAGAGGTGCTCGAGGTCCTAACACAGGACGCCGTCAGAGCACAGAGCAAGGGGCCTGGCACAGCGTGGGCGGGTGTGGGGGAGGTGTCTGGGCAGTGACCTTGGAGTTGAGATCTAGGTGTTGTGCCCGCAGATCTCCTGTGGGTCTTGTCAAAATGCAGCCCAAGAGTGTATGCTCGAACAAGTTCCAGAAAACGGTGGTGCTGCTGGCCCCTGGACCACACTTTGAGTAGCCAGGCCCTAACACTGCATTGTCCAACCAAATAGCTACTAGCCACAGGTAGCACTTTAAACCTGGCAATTAGAATGGAATGAAATTAAAAATTCAGGCCTAGCCAGTGTGCCTCAGTGATTGAGCATTGACCCTGCACCAAGAGGTCGCTGGTTCAATTCCCAGTCAGGGCACATGCCAGGGCTGCAGGCTCGATCCCCAGTAGGGGACATGCCTGGGGCAGCTGATGATGTTTTTAATCTCTCTAAAATCAATAAAAACATATATATATTTATTATTATTATTTTAATATAACAACAATTTTAATATTTTAATATACGTTTTTATTGATTTCTGAGAGAAAGGGAGAGAGGGAGAGAGATAGAAACATCAATGATGAGAAAGAATCATTGATCAGCTGCCTCTTGCATGCCCCTCTACTAGGGATTGAGCCTGCAACCTGGGCATGTGTCCTTGACTAGAATCGAACCTGGCACCCTTCAGTCTGCAGGCAGACGCTCTATCCATTGAGCCGAACCGGCCAAGGCAATAAAAACATATTTTTTAAGATCAGTTCCTCAGTGCCCAGTATCCCCACATGGCCAATGGTTGCTGTGATGAACAGAGCAGATATATGTCCACCATCACAGAAAGTTCTGGACAGTTCTACTCTACTCTGAAGTTTGGACTGGGAGTTAGCTAGACAAAGTGGGCAGGAGAGAAAGGCTTTTGGCAGGAGGCACAGACATGCAAATGTCCCAAGTCAGGGGAGGTGGGTGTCAGAGGAGATGAAAGGAAGTGGGGGGTGAGGCTGGAGATGGGCTGGGTACTCAGGCTGTGGGATGCCTTCTGGGCTATGCTAAGGTCCCCTGTTCAGGGAAACCCCTGAATGGTTTGTGGCAGGTTGGGCTCTGCAGGGGGTACGGGTGGAGCTTCATTTCTCATTTTGGCCTCACTTGCTTTCCCTCTGCACCTGTGGGAAGAGGCCTGGGCCTCATTTGCAGCATCACCAGCTTTTCCTCCGCTGTGAGCCCCAGGCCTGTGTCCCCACCAGGCGGTAATACTTTGCTATCTATGCCTTTCCTCCCCAGGGGCTCCATGTCCAGCCTGGAATCCTGCACCAGCCGTTTCTCCCAGCTCAGCGCCACCACCTCCTCCTCCTCCTCCAGCCAGTCTCACAGCAGCTCCCTGGTCTCCAGATAGCCAGGACTGAGCCCCGCGGGGCAGCCCACACGCCTACCGCGTCCTCAAGCGTCTACCACCAGAAGCCAGCTTGCCGTGCGACCTGGGACCACGTGGTCTGTAGCCTGGGTCTGGACGCTGCCAAAGTTGGCATGTTGAGCTGACAGCAATGATTCAGCTTGTGGCTGAGTGTGGTGGGAGCCTCTAAGTCAGAACCATCTCCTTTGCGCTTTGTGTAACGAAAAGCCAAGGAGTGGGGGGGCCACCTTAAGTCTGCCTGTTCTGGCGGCTCAGGGATGTCATGAGGCTCAGCCCGCCCTTTCCTTCTGCCTCTGCTTGCCCTGGGATGGCCTCCTGCTCAGGTGCCTTCCCCACGGCCATGAGGCCCCTTCCCTCTTTCCTCCCAGCTCAGCTCCAGAAGAGAACGTCCTTCTCCCAAAGTTTCTCTAATCAGCCTGCCGGGGGCCCTGCTGGTCCCTGAACCAATCACTGTTGCCAGGGAAATGGAGAACACTAATTGGCCAGCAGGGGTCTATGTCCACTCCGGACTAATCACTGTGTGGGGAGCGGGTACAGTGATTGGCCATCTGGACCACCTGCTTGTGCCTGGAGCCAACCGCCCGGCCTGAAAAGCACAAAGGGCTTCTAAGAATATGGGGGTCCCCCAAGAAGAAGGGGGGAAATACTGGGCAGGCAGAAATGACGTGTGCTCATCATGGCATCTGATTGCATAGTGAGGCCCTGTGTCCCAAGACAGGTACAGAGAGCAGTTATATGAGTTACAGGCTTTGCTTTCTGTGGGGAGCAGCCCACTCTGGACTTGAAATCCATTTTCCTAGCACTTGGCTGGGAGGGCCTCCCCCTGACCAGCCCTAACCTGAAGAGAATGGGAAGGTGCGGGGTTTCTGCTAAGTTTCAGGCTGTTGAATTCTCTCCTGGGAGCTCTTTAATTAGGACTCCTTTGGTTGTAAGTTATGGAGACTCGCACGAAAGGGTAACCATTCACGGGCACATGCAACGGGCCCATCAGGAGGGCTTGCTGCACGTATGGTTGGATCCCTGTGGGATGGAGGCTGTGACTGTTGTGTCTGCCCTGGGTCAGATCTGACTCCTGGGACCAGCCCCACTATTGACAAACTCCCCGAGTTCCTGCGTGGGAGAGTTTTGTATATCCTTGGAGCCTGAGGCCATATCTCTTTTCCTTTCCTGGGCCTCCAAAAAGACACAGATCAGCGGTCACCAGGTGGCAGTCTGCAGTCTGATCTGGCCTGCCTTTAGTGTTTTTGGTTTTTGCCTACAGAGTGATTTAAAAAATTGGGGCATTTCACCCAGAAATCAGGATTTCTGTCTTCCCTTAAGCATTTGGGAGTGTTGGTAAAACAGGCCCACTATTGACACATAAAGGCAACACACACAGTTGTTACCCTGGCTGGGCCACACCGATCCCCACCTCCCCTAGCCCACGTCACGCACTTGCCTGGCCTGTGTGTGTGAGAGACCTCACTGACATGGCTTGGCAGGCAGCCGGGCTCCAGTCTGGGGCCTAGAGGCCCAGCGTTACTTTTCGCTGGTAACCTTGCTTACTGTTGGGGTGATCTCTGGCCAAGACCCAGGGTCACTGGGCCTTGCCCAAGGGGTGGATTTATAACCTCGGGGATCGTAGCCTTCCTGCAGACTTGGCATGATGGGGCAAGAAGAGCAAGCTTACTCCCATACCACCTCAACCTCAACCCCAACCCCAAACCTGGAGCCAAGGGGAGGAGACAAATTTTGTTCTACACGAAGGGGCCTCCTCCACCTCTGTAGTTTTCCGTTTGCTTCTCAGGTATAGGAACAAAATCCAAAACTGCATCCTGCCTCAAGGCCTGTGTGCCCATGTGTGAGGGAGAGAGGCAGGGAGGGAGACTGGAGACATTCTCAAAGCGAGTCGCTGCCATGTGACCAGGCACTTATCGCTGAGAGCAATTTGCAAACGGTCTTACTATCTTTAGATGAATTTTGAGCTTGCCCCTAAAGTCTACGTGTTATCCTGGAAGCATTTGGGGTAGGCTGCCCTAGCACGCCCTGCACACCCATCGGGTAAGACTAGCACCCAGTGAAGGAGGGGGAGGCCTTTCCTTGGCTTGGGGTGAGAAATGGATTTTGATAACTGGAACCTGGACCTGCTGATTCCAGGGATGAGCGCCTGCCATCACAGTCCAGCTTTTACAGGAAGAGCGAGGGGCCTCAGACCCACTCAGTTCTCCCCTTCAGAGCTACCCCCTCTCTCCCTCTCTGCTTCACCCAGGCCTCTTTGCTCCGCATCTCTTTGCAAACCAGCCTCGTCCTCTCCTCTCTCTGATGCCAAGTGGCTGGCTGCCAGCATCCCCTGGACTACAGCCACAGGGCTCACCGTCTCTAAGGCCGGGAGGGACACTTATCATTTCAATGCCACAGAGGGCTCAGATTGGCCCTGCACGAGTTGCATGCTCACTCCTGTGGATGTGCTGGCCAAGGGGGTGGGGAATCTGTGATTGACGGTCTCTCCAGAAGCAATAGTGGGATGGGGGAGCACCAGTCACCCAAGGACAAAGGGAGCTGGGCCAGAGAAGCAACAGATGGCCATAGTGGTGTTTGCTACGGTTCTGTGCTGAAGGTCTCTGGGGCCCACGCTGGAACATCATCAATCAATATGCCATCTTTTTACCTTGAGAGGCTTGGAATTAAAAATCCAAGGAAGGGCTGCCAAGCTCTTGGCTTCTAAATGTCCCCGGCCGCCAGGACTGGAAGCTCCCTGGCTTGGCTTTTTTCTCCAGCTAGTTCATTAACCTGTTGTGACCAGGACAGAAACAACCCACTCACAACAGAACCTGCCCAGGCCCTGGGTTTAGGAGCCTGGGTCTTAAAATTTAGACAGGGTGGGGTTCAGACCCAGCTGTGTGACCTCCAGCAGGTGACTTAACCTCTCTGTGCCTCAGTTCCCTCATCTGTGAAATGGGGACAGCAGTGCCTACCTCGTTCACTGGGTCGTTGTGAAGTTCACAGCCCAGCACCCGGCTCACAGAAAAGTCAGCGGTTATTCTGGTTATTTATTGCTTCTCATCCAAAGACTGCAGACTCCTTCCTGAGGATGCCTGCCACTGCTTTTCATGGACAGAAGGCTCAGCACCGGGTGCATCTGGAGAAAAGTAGGTGTCGGGGCATTATTTTTCCCTTCCTCTTTCCAATCCACTCACCTAGAACAGCACCATTCGGAACGGTGTCTCCCGCAACCAGCTAGAGACTGTTCTCTCCACAGGTTGACATAAGGGGCGTGTGGGACCCCCTGGGATTTCTCCCCCTGTGATATGAATGTTCAATGAGAGTAATGTAATTCTGTCCCTCACAGTCTGTTTCAGCCAGTGACACAAAAGGGGTTTCTTGTGGGCCTGATATTTGCTCCAACCAGAAGCATTAAATGTTTTAGATTTGGACATACCTCTGCTGTCTACTTCCTAACTGGATGTTCCCCTGGGCTTGCTCAAGAATTACCCAGCTGCTGTTCCTAAGACTTTAGAGCAGCGGTTCTTAACCTGTGGGTCACGACCCCTTTGGGGGTCGAACGACCCTTTCACAGGGATCGCCTAAGACCACTGGAAAACACATATATAATTACATATTGTTTTTGTGATTCATCACTATGCTTTAATTATGTTCAATTTGTAACAATGAAAATACATCCTGCGTATCAGATACTTACGTTACAATTCATAACAGTAGCAAAATTATAGTTATGAAGTAGCAACGAAAATAATTTTATGGTTGGGGGTCACCACAACATGAGGAACTGTATTAAAGGGTCGCGGCATTAGGAAGGTTGAGAACCGCTGCTCTAGAGCCTCCCAGCAGGGGCTGTGTCAGCCTCAGGGGTTGCAAATTGGTTCTTGGGGAAGGGGACATAGTTTTTTTTTTTTTTTTTTTGGCGGGACATAGTTTTTATATGTAAAGCACGGATGTCTTAGTTTGCTGGGGATGCCATAACAAATGACCACGAACTAAGTGGCTTAAAAACAGAAGTGGATTCTCTCCCAGTTCTGGAGGCCAGATGTCAGAGATCAAAATGTCCACAGGCTCTAGGGAGGATCCCGCTGCCTCTTCCAGCTTCTAGTGGCTCCATTCTTCCTGGGCTGTTCCTGGGATGGTGGCCACATCACTCCTATCTCTGCCTCCACCTTCCCATGGCCCTCTCCCGTCTCCTTTTTTGTTAGAACACCAGCCATTGGATGTAGGGCCCACACTGATACAGTATGATCTCATCTCAATCCTTAACTAATCACATCTGCAAAGATCCTACTTCCAAATAAGGCCACATTAGGAGGTCTGGGTGGATGTGAATTCTGGGGACACTAGTCAACCCACTGCATATGCGTACGGCACATGAACAGACACAGTGCCGTTTATCCCTGGTATTAAATGCAGGGCCCCGGGGCCCACTCGGTGCTGCTGACTTGGAATCGTGGGGGTAGGTTCCTGGATTCTACTTGCCAGGTGAAGATGAGACCCTGCCATCCATCTTCCTGGGCCACTCTGCCCTGCCCCCTGGGGTTGACCGAGGAGCCTCAGGCCTGATGTCAGGAGGGGGAGGGTCCTTCCAGGGCAACACCCGACCTTCCCAGGAGCTCGCTTGGGATCAGCAGGGTGCTGGCGCGCCACACCATGGGATTCTGAAAAGGCTCCTTGCTTTGAAGCAGGAAGCCAAGGACTGCCACTTGGGGAGCAGAGGTGGTGGGGTTCCTTTGTGACAGCGTGAGGGCCACCTGCCTCCACCAGCTTGTTACCCAGCCCTGCCCAACACATCTGACTGAGGGAGAGGAGCCGCCCTTGCCTGCCCTGGTGCCATGCATGCACTCATTCCCTGTGGCCTTTCCATGGTTTCGCTGGAGCTGTGTGTGAGGACTCTCAAAGGAACAGCCAGCTGACTCAGGGGTGTGGCCGGGGTTGAGAAAGACAGAAGTCCCTGGAGCAGGGGAGCCGGTCACCGCCGACCTCTGTCTCCACAGTGTTAACGTGAAAAACCATTGAAGCCTGTAAAGAATTTTTGTGAGTTTATTTGAGCCAAACTGTTGACTTATTCTGGGAAGCAGAACCTCAACAAATTGAGATAATGCTCGGGAGAATGGCAGGTTACATCTGTATTTATACAGTGCAATCAAAGGAAAGGGGAGTAGCTGGGTTACATGAAATCCATTGGTGATAGACTAGAGAGGCGGGAGAAAGCAAAGCGGGGGGTGTGGGGAGGATCCCTGGGATTGGATAGACACATACTTAGGTGGGTGCAGGAAGAATTCACATGATAATTAAGGAATTTGTGGTATCTGTCCTGGCGCCCAGCACATTAGGTTGTGCCACAAAGGGTCCAGAAAAAGGGAAGTTACAGGTCACCCAGACATTTCAAGGGTATTTTATTATAGATGCAAAGAGATAGATAGGCTCAGTTAAGGTAAAGGTTGACCTTGTCAGTGAAGATACCGGCCTAGGATGTAACTACCCACCATAATTGCTTTTAGTTAAAGTTTTATTTCAGACCATCCTTTGTGGTTACTTTATGTCTCTGAGTCTAGCAGGCCTTCCCTGAGCTTGTCAGGTTCGCATGTGGCCCCTTTTGTCCACAACAGGATCGCCTCCAGAAGCCCCCCTGGGTTTTGGGTGTGGAAGGAACAGAGCAGGAAGCCAAGGACTGCTCCCTGGGGCCCAGAGACAGACCCCCGGGGCCTCTGTGGAGGGGTCTCAGGGCACACTGGTGTGGGAGATTGGGCAGGGCCTGGAAGGAGCTGGAAAGAGCCAGAAGGAAAGGTGCTGGGTGGCCCTCAGGGATGGCAGTTCTCCCAGTTCCTCCCCCCCCCCCACTTCAGTTCCTCCTCACACACAAGGCATTTCTGAGGAATGGGGGTCCCCAGAAGGCACAATTTGAAACCTCTGACTTCAGAGTTTTCTGGAGCCCAGATTTTTCTGAGACAGACCCCTTTGAGAATCTGTTCAAAGCTGTGGCGTTGCACTTGAATTCTGTTTCCATTGCCCACCCTTTGGTTCTGGAATTGAAACTTTTCTTCTGGAGTCTTTCCTGATGCTGGAGTTTTATAAAGAGAATCCCAGCAGCTGAGCTATGTGTCACCTTGGTAACTACCTGCCCAGCACAGGACTCCCAGCATTCCAAGTTGGACCACCACTACCATGAGGTGGGGAGGAGCCTTGCACTGCCCTAACTAGACCATGTTAATCCCCAGCTCACAATCCGGGAGCTTCATGACTTCAGCTCTTTGTATGTTTATGTCACACATGTCCCTGCACCATCAAAGGTAGGTATTGGAATCTCAGACACTTTTCTGCCTCTTGCTCCATGTCCCATGTAAGCTCTACAAATGCCCCAGCCAAAACATGCCTCTCCTGGAATGGCACATTATGACTGTCAGACTCTTTGGGTTGCCAGAGACCCCAAAATCTCAGGTTCACCGGGTGCCTGACCGACATGCCGAAGGTCAATGGTTCTGTGGCTCTGGCCAGAGGACCGAACGCAGCGCCCTGAAGGGAACGCAGCGCCCTGAAGGGAACGTCCCAGGCTGGTACTGAATGAGGGACCCCTCTGGCACGCCACAAGCCCTCTTCAGGTTCTGCCTTGAGCCTGAAGCCCAGCAAAGCTGTGCACAGAACTGGCATTGCCAACTCAGCCAAGGACAGGCAGAGAAGCCCCTGCAGAGGCTGGTGCTTGGAGGACAAGGCCTTGCACAGCCCGATGCTTCAGAGCCTTGGGGGTGCTCCCTGTAGATTCCCGGAGCCCTCTGCTCCTGACTCAGGGGTCTGGGGAGGGGCCCAGAAGTCTGCAATCCTAGAACATTCCTGGGGATACATTCTGACTGCAGCCAGGCTTGGGAACTGGCCTGAGGAATATGCCGAAAGGATCCTAAGGTGCCCGGAAACTGGCTTGACCTCTTGCCGCTGTGTCCTACTCTTGATCATCAAAGCAGCGCAGGGCTGCTTGGTCCATAAAGAAAGCAAAATACAAAATGAACCTTCCAGGTGTTGGAACACAAGCTCCCTGGAGGAATGCAGCTTTGCTTACATTCCCAGGAGGAATGAAAACCAGCAACACCTGGTTCCTTGAACAAGTGGCTGTCCCTAAGTTCCCGACTTGCTGAGAACGCCCTGCCGCCTTCCCTGTCTTCCCGCCAACCGGGGGCACAGACCGGGCGAGGGGCTGTGAGAGGTGGCACCTCCAGTGGCTTGGAGAGCTGTGGGCTGCAGGTTCACCGGGTGCCTGACCGACATGCCGAAGGTCAATGGTTCTGTGGCTCTGGCCAGAGGACCGAACGCAGCAGCACCCTGAAGGGAACGTCCCAGGCTGGCACAGTGGCTCCCCACTTATCTATCCCCATCTTTAGGGGTCAGACAGACCCAATGACCCACAGACATCCTTCCAGGGACTCGGAGGCTGAGAACTGGCCTATGACAGTTCTCTCTCTCTCTCTCTCTCTCTCTCTCTCTGAATGTTTTTATTGATTTCAGAGAGGAAAGGAGAGGGAGAGGGAGAGAGAAACATCAATGATGAGAGATAATCATTGATAGGCTGCACTCCCCCTACTGGGGATTGAGCCCGCAGCCTGGGCATGCGCCCTGACTAGGAATCAACTGTGATCTCCTGGGTTCATGGTGGTAGCTCAACCACTGAGCCACACCAGCCATTCTGAATTCCTCCTTTCGAAAGTGAAACAGACCCGCTTCATAGTAACTCGATCACAGTAATGGGCTCCTTTCCCATCTCTTAGCAGCTCCTCTCATTAAGGGGTGGAGTCCGTCTTCTTTCCCCTGAAATCCAGGCCTGGGGACTTTATCTGATAGAATGTGGTGGAAACGAGGCCACACCACTTCTGAGCCGAGGTTTCAAAAGGCCTCCCATGCTTCTCTTCTGCAATCCCTGTCACCCTCCACATTCCCCAGCCGAGGCCAGGCTCCTGGAAGGCGAGACACCACCTGGAACATGACTCCCTCAACTCCGGCCTCCCAGCCCAGCCCCCGCTCTCACAGGTGAGCCCCGGGGAAGTCACTGTCCCTGGCCCAGATCAACAGAAGCACCCAGGTGACCCAGGATCATGGGAGATGATTATTTTTCACGATAAGCAGTAACTGGTTGTTGGACTGGTTCAGCTGCACTAGAGAACTACTAGTTACACCATGTCTCAGGGCTGCTAGGATAAGTACCACAGACTGCGTGGCTTACAAAGCACAGACACTTATTTCTCACAGTTCTGAGGCTGGCAGTCCAGGATCAAGGTGCTGGCACATTTAGTTCCTGGCAGGCTGGCTTGTAGACGCTGCCATCTCACTTCGTGTGAGCAGGTGGGGAGGGTGCTCTCTGGTCTCTTCCTTTTGTCATGGGTGCCACTCCCATTGAAAGGAGGTTTTAGGGGTGAAATAGGCAGGTTTAGAAAATTTTAGGAATTAAGGGTCCATGGAAAAAGCACCTGGCTACAGGGCTGCAAAGGGTACATTTCCATAGAATAAGGGAGCTGGAAGCTGCAGAAGGTACATTTCCACAGAATAAGGGAGCTGGGAGCTGCAGAAGGTACATTTCTACAAAATAAGGGAGCTGGGAGCTGCAGAAGGTACATTTCCATAGAATAAGGGAGCTGGGAGCTGCAGAAGGTACATTTCCACCGAATAAGGGAGCTGGGAGCTGCAGAAGGTGTACATTTACAGAATAAAGGGAAGGAAGCCCCTCATTCAGAGAGGGAAGAGGAAAGCCCAAAGGGAATAGGGAAACAATAAGGGAGGAGGAGGGAACCTCTGGTACCTCACAGGAGGTTTGAGCTCTGAAGTTGCTATAGTGACCTAATCAGAAGGGATATCAAGGCACAAAAAACTGCAGCCTTTATAAAGCCTTTGAAAAAAGGGACTTAGTCGTATTCTTTCCCTCTCTCCACGTGGCAGTCTGTGCTTGTTTCTCAGTAAATTTCCACCTTTTACTATACCACCTTTCGTCCATGGAGCGGACAAGAATCTAGGAACCATCTTGCCCAGAGGAACACCATGAGTTCCAGTTCAATTTTCCCATTTCATCACCAGGAGGGCACCACCCTCACCAGCCCACCTAAACCAAAGGCCCCACCTCCTAATGCCACCACACTGGGGTCAGGGCTTCAATGTAGAAATTGGGGGATGATGACACAAACACGCAGTCCATCACGTGCATGGGTTTACCTGGAGACTTCCTGAAAGCTGTCTCCATCTCCCCTCCCAGAACAATATGCTAAGCACATATTCATGGGACAGGGTAGCGGGGAAACCTGCCAGGTACTGAAGACCCTTGCAAACTCTGACACTCACAAGGCTGGGGGTCACAGGTGAGGGGAGCTGGCTGCTGGGGCTGCGATGAGTAGAGGGCCAGATGGGGCTGTACAGTCTCAGCTCTGGCCAGCTGTTGCCTCATGAGGGCATCAGCCTGGCTACTACCTCTCTGACTTTTAAACACTGGTAATTAATTTAAATTCTATTAAAATACAATGTGCACTAAACCTTTTCCGTTCAAAGTGTGGTCAGGGGCAGCCTCGGCACCACCCGGGAGCTTGTTAGACTAGACACTCTGCCCTGGGCCAGAATCTGCATTTTAATAAGGTCTCCAGGTGACTCAGGTGCACATGAAATAAACAGATACATCAGGGAGCTGGAGGTGCTGGGGGCTGCCTGCTCAGGGCTCCGGTAAAGGAGCCCTGCCTATTAAGATCCAGGAGCACTCTCAAGTCCATGATTCAGAATTCAGCCACTGCCTTAGGGCTCCTTTAATTATGTAAATTTACTCGAGAGGTATAAAAACCCTCTGGATGGTAGGATGACAAAATAGAAAGCCTGTAAACATGATTTCATCCCCCGTCCATTCTAAGGAGTTTCCTGTGATAGGAAACTGAATTCTAGTTGGCAAATGCCGTGATGAGGTCTATAAAAAGGGTCCCGTGACATGGCCGTTGTCTCTTTAATCCACCACAGTGCAAGGGGGCCGGCTGGCACCCCCCACTTGGTCACGGGGAGTTCCATTCGCTGGTGGCCGGTCCCAGGAGGCTGGAGGCTCTTTGGCGGAGGCCCTGGGGGACGGGCCTCATGGCAGCAGACACAGGCAGGCGGGGAAGGAGCAGTGTCTCGGGAACACTCAGGTTGCTCCTGCCACGGCAGACATCCAGGCGAGAGGGCCGAGGGCCAGGTGAGAGGCTGAGGCATACCTGCTATCAGAAGCTTGGCTTGGCGCTGGGGCTGAGGCCACCCAGCGTCCGTGGCCTTGGACTATCCCTTGCAGAAGCCAGACAGCGTCAAAATGAGCCTCCAAACAGGCCATGGTGGGCAGCTGGGTCGTTCAGTCCTTGAAAGGGTTGCAGGTCTCACCCGTCTGTTCCTTCTCGGCAGCCGAGAGCTCCCCGTTCATCTCCTGCAGCGGGTGGTAGACATAGGACCCATCCAGGTGCCGGCTCCGCTCTGCCCTCGAACCGAGGAGCAAGGACACGTTCGCCACTATGCTGATCAGCAGAAGGAAAACCAGGGCCAGGGTGAGGGCCAGACAGGCGGTCCTGAGGACAGGAGAGAAATCCTGAGTGGAGCCTGCGGGGCCGACTCAGGGCTGTGGGAGTGTTGGAGGGATGTTCCTCCCTCCTACTTCGCTCTTCCACCCGCAACAGGGGCATTGGGTCTGGCCTGCAGGGACCACACAGGGACTGTCAAGGAGCAAATGGGCCTGTGTGGCTGAGGCCCATCCAGATACATGTTCAGGGAGCAGTGTGGATAGATGCTATGCAGGATCTATCTGCTATATCAAGAGAAACTATTAACAAAAGGGGTTTTACATGAATGTAACTGATTTTTAGATGTTAATCTTTTAAAAATGCTAAACTGTGAAGATCAACTCAAACGACTTAACCCAGCCTGGGAGGCATCAGTCCGCATCCTGTGCTCCATGGGATGCCTCGGACCAGAGGCTGGGCTCTGCTCCAGGTCCTCAGAGCAGACGGAGCAGGGAGAACCCCTTCCTCACGGCAGGGAGGCTGGGCACAGGGCGCAGTATTTAACCATCTTTTCTTCTTATGAATCTTCAGCTGCAGCTCTCAAGGTAAAAGTGAACACTGGTAGATTGCTGGGTGCAGGACCTGCAGCCATGTCCCTCAGCCCCCAGGGCTCCCCATGGTTGCCAAAGGGTTCTAGGTGTGTGTTTGGGGGAAGAGGGCCCTCAGGAGCCTGAGCTTTAGGCCAGGACTGGAGCTCCTATCCCGGCTCTGGTGCGTTTTGAAAGCACATTTTTAGTTTTCGCCAGGCCTCACCACACCCAGACACGCTGGGTCAGGATCCCAGGAGGGACGTGGCATCCGCATTACCGATGAGCTCCCAGAGCTGCCTCTGGAACGATGCTGGGGAGCTCTTCCTTCGTACCCACACCTGGTTTCCCGGAGGGGGCTGCGTGGGGTGGGTCAGGCCGGCACCCAGGCTGGGGCCATGGAGGTGAGAACCTCGGGATTGGCATCACCTGGAATGCAGATGCTCGGGCTCCTCCCCAGACCGATAAGGCAAAAACTCTGGGCGTGGATACACCCTCTTCCCTGAGGTCAGGCTCGAAAGCAAAGCCTCAACACAAGCCCTGAGTGCACACAGGTGCCTGAGGAATAATTCAAGTTCCGTGGAGCCTACTGCTCCTGGACCAGGGGCTGAGAACAAGCCGTGTCACAACCAAGGGATAGTAAGCCCAGGCCTGGCCCCCTCCATTCCCACTGGGGTGCTGACCAGGGTCCTTCTCACCAGATCCCTTTGAGCATCCGCTGTGACTCTCCCTGTGCTCGAGTTGGAGGACTATCACTTGGGTGCCCAGCTGCCACCTGCTGGCCTTGCCCTGTCCCTCGGAGGTAGAGGGAGGGGTCTCCTCCCACCCCTGCCCCAGGTCCCAGCAAAGCACCTACCCAGTGAGGAGGGAGAATTCTCTTGTCTGCAGGCTGACCTGGGATGGCTGGAGACACTGCTTCACTGTAAGACACCAGGGTGAGGCTGAGGGTCCAGGAGGGTCTGGGTCCGCCCTTTCCTGCCCCCAGGATGGGTGGGTGGGGTCAGGAGGGGCCGTACCTTGGGAGAGAATGCTGCTCAGGTTGGGAGCCTGGGTGAGGTTGCAGTTGCCAGTCTGGGGATCACAGGGACACTGGTGCTCACACTCACAAGGCCTCTGGCAGCCTGGCCCGTGCCAGCCGAGGGGACACTCTGCAGTGAGGCGGCAGGAAGATGGAAGTGGAGGTGCCAGCGGCAGGGCCTCTCCCTGAACCGACAGGATAGGCCCAAGGTGTGCACAGAGCCCGGCTAAAGGAGCGGTGTAGCCGCTACACACACATTCCCAGGGTGGTGCTCCCTCCTGGCTGACTCAGGGGCCCATCTAGCTTACCCTGAACACAGCTGTCTCCAGTGAAGCCAGGGGGACAGGTGCAGGTCCCCCGAACTGGGTCACAGGCAGCTCCATTCTGGCACTGACACTTCTTGGCACAATCCTCCCCGAAGGAGCCATTGCTGCAAGCTGGGATGGGGAAAGGGGAGTCTTTGCAAAAGCTGGCCCTGTCCCTCCCAGATGGGCCCACAGGTGGCAGATGGACCTCAGTCACCCGAGTGGCCTTTAGGCTCACATATTCTCCCTGAAACTGTGCCCTCATGGAGCTTTGAGTCCAGGAGGGCAGGTGGCCAGCAAGCTAGAAAGCAAACGTCAAAGTGCAAGTGAGGACAAACACCACAGGGATGTGACCTCTTGGCAGCAGCAAACCACGGAGGGGGTGGTGGTGGGAGGTCCCTGGGGACACGACGTTAGGCTGAGACTTAGAGAGGAGCAGAGGGCACGGTGAGCAGGGAGGGGCTGGAGCACCCACAGCCTGGCCGGTCACACTGAGCAGTTCGGGTTTTTCGCTAAGTGTGAAAGAAAACCACCGGAGGGTTTAAGCTGTAGATAGTTGTAGTGGGTTGAACTGTGTCCCCCCCAAAAGATACGCTTTAATTCCTAGAACTTGTAAACAGAACTTATTTGGAAATAGGGTCTCTGCAGATACACTTAAGTTAAGGATCTTGAGGTCATTTTAGATTTAGGGTGACCCCTAAATCCAGTGACCAGGGGTCCTTGGTAAGATAAAAGAGAGGGAGACTGAACACACAGGGAGGCCATGTGAAGATGGAGGCAGAGATTGGAGCGATGAGGCCACAAGCCAAGGAATGCGAGAACCCACCAGGAGCTGCAAGAGGTCGGCTCCTCCACTAGACCTTTCAGGGGGAGCATGCCTCTGAGGACACCTTGATTTTGGAGTTCTGGCCTCTGGAAGTGTGAGAATATATTTCTATTGTTTTAAGCTGCCCAGTTTGTAGCATTTGTTGCAGCAGCCCCTGCACAACAATGCAGTGATTTACACGTGAGGCGAGAGCAAGAGGCAAGCGACGTGCAGACCGACTGAGAGGTGAGGATGAAGGCAGTTGCCGCTCTCACCCTCTCCCCATGTGCCCGGGGCTGGGGTGGGGCCGGCCTGTGGCTTTTACCTTCACTGCAGTTGGACCCTGTCCATCCAGCTTCGCAGCGGCAGCCAGCTGCCAAGACAAGACCGAGAAGGTCAGGTGAGGGCCCAGGAAGAACTGGGCAGGGAGACCTCGGAGCCCGGGTGAGAGCTGCCTCCCCAGAGCCTCCACTCACTTTCTGTGCAGAGCCCATGCTGGCTGCAGTTGGAGGGGCCACAGTCCAGCTCGTCGCAGGCGGCGCCCCGCCAGAAGTGCCCCGTGCACTGGCAGTGACCCTCCACACAGGTTCCGTGGCCACTGCAGTCAGGCGGCTGGCAGCGGGGCTTGTGCACGCACACCACAGTGGACACACTTCGGGGACAGCGCCACATGTTGTTATCCTGGCTGCAAGGGGACACAGTGTTTGAAGAGGCTGGGGTATTGACCATCCCCAGCCGGCCCCTCCAACCCCCTACTGCAGCCTACGAGTGCTGCCTTTCTCCATTGTCCCATCTCCAAACTTTTAAAGGTTCCCAACCCCCACAGTCTCTCTCACCCCAGGGCCTTTGCACATGCTGTTCTCTTACCCAGAAGGCTCTTCCACCCTCCCTCCCCCACATCTACCCACCTCTTCTTCCTTTAGATCTTAGCTCATGCTTCATTATCCTCAGAGAGGTTTTTCCTGACTAATCAACCCCCTTTCACCAGCTTAGGTAGTATTGGTACACTATGTGTACTTCCTGTACGGAGTGAGAGGCAGGGATCTCAGCTCCTCCTGCTCACTGCTCCTCCCAGGGCCTGGCACATAGCCGGTGCTCAGTATTTGTTGAATGAGACAGGGACAGGCCTGGACTTAGACCTCAAGAAGGGGACTCTGGTGTGTTTACCAGTGATCTGACGGGTAACTGGCCAAGGTCCCATTGAGCACGAAGGTAGCAGAGCCCCCTCCATCCAGGTTGATGGCGTTGACCACATCCTGTTTCAGCAGGCACTCCGCCATCTCCCACAGGTTAATGCTGCAACATAAGACCAGCACCGTTGACAGTGCCCACCACCATTTCGGTTCAATTCTTACTTCCCGTGGTAGATGGTATCATGTCCATTGTGGCAGGCAGATTTCTAAATGGCTCCCCAAAGACGCCCATCCTAATCCCAGAAACTGTGAATATAATGAGAGATCGCTCCCAAGATTGTTACACTACACGGCATAGCCGTCAACAAATGGGAACCGTGTCCTGGATTATCTGAGTGGGCCCAATGGAATCACAAGAGCCCTTAAAAGCAGACCCCTGGCTGGAGGCTCAGCTGGTTGGAGCATTGTCCCATATGCCAAAAGGTTGTGGGTTCGATTCCCTGTCAGGGCACATGCCTAGGTTGCAGGTTCACTCCCTGGTTTGGGTGTGTGTGGGAGGCAACAGATCAATGTTTTTCTCTTACATTGATGTTTCTCTTTCTCTCTCTCTCTTTCTCTCTCCCTCTTCCTGTCTCTCTAAATATCAATTGGTGAGGATTAAAGAAAAATGCAGTGGTGGAAGAGGAAGTGAGAGATTGGATATACAAGGGGATAAGAGGGATTTGACACATCTCTGCTGGCCTGAAGATGGGGAGGGTACACACGAGGTGAAACGTGGGCAGCTGTAGGAGCCGAGGCCCCAGGTGGCAGCCAACAAGGACGCACAGACCTCAGTCCTACAACTGCAAGGAGCTGCATTCTCCCAACAACTTAATCAGCTGGGAAGAGGGTTCTTCCCCAGAAGCTCCAATAAGTGCCCTGCCTGGCCAACAGCTTGACTCTTGTCTGTGGGATGTCCTGAACACAGAGCCCAGTGAGCCCTCTGGACTCCTGACCTACAAAACTATGATGAACAAATGGGTTCTCATTTCTTACATAGCAACAGCACAATAATACACTCTCTTTACAGAGCACCAAACTGTGGCCCAGAGGGGCTAAGTGACTTGCCTATGGCCACAGAGCTGGCAGATAGCTGAGCTTGGACTGGAATCGGGGTCTTCTCCCTGCTAACTTTGTGATCATTTCCTTTCACCCCAACTGAGACTCAGGAGAGGGGAAATGTAAACTGGGGAGCCTGAGAGGAAGTGTGTGGAGGATGATGAGCTCTTGGAAGTGATACAGACCACGGGAAGGCAGGGGACAGATGGGTGTGAGCATCCCCAGGTGACAGCTGGTCAGAGGGCAGCCATTGGTGGGTGCAAGCTCCTCAAAGGGGACTTAACCCAAGACCCTGAGGCTCTGGTTCCTGGCACTCACCCCCGCTGCTCCGTCTGCCCGTCCACATGGAAGAGCACCAGCTGCCCCTTCCGGTCATGGCCCACAGCCGTCCTGGCCGATACCACATTCACAAATTTGCTGAAGGAACCTGAAAGAGAAGCGGCTGGGCTGATCACGGGCCCTTTGGGAGGCCTCTGGGCTCTGTCTGCCACTTCCTGCCAGTCCATGCCATCCAGTGTTTCCCTGCCTCCCCCTGCCCCATTGCAGTCAATCTCACATAGGAGCCAAAGGACTTTTAAGTGTACATCAAGTCATGTCAGCCTCCAGCCGGAAAGCTCTTATGGCTTCCACTGTTCTTAGAGCAATATCCAAACACCTTCCCAAGGCCCAGCATGACCATCCGGGCCTGCTCTCCTACTGCCTCTCCCGGGGCTTCCCTCTCATCACCCTGCAGCCACTTTCTGTCCCCTCTGCTGGACTGCGCTTCTGCTCAGCTCTTCCCACAGCTTGCTCCTCCTCATCTACGCCACCGCCGTGAGGCCGTCCCTGACTGCTCAGTCTAAAATAGCTCATTTCCACATTAGAGCCATGGTGTCCCTTTCCTGCCCCAGCATTCCACACTCCAGTGGTTTTCGAACTTGAGTGCCCATCAGAATAACTCAGGGGCCTTGGTAAAACACAAGCTTGGGCCTCACCCCCAGGGATTCTGATCCTGTAGGTTGGAAGGAGGCCTGAAGTTCTGCATTTAAAACAAGTTCCTGGGCCCGACCAGTGTGGCTCTGTGGTTGAGCATTAACCTAAGAACCAGGAGGTCACAGTTCCATTCACCAGTCAGTGCACATGTTCGGGCTGCAGGCTCAATCCCCATAAGGGGGCGTGCAGAAGGCAGCCGATCAATGATTCTCTCTCATCATTGATGTTTCTCTCTCTCCCTCTCCTTTCCTCTCTGAAATCAATAAAGATATATTAAAAATAAATAAATAACATAAGCTCCTGGGTGACACAGATGCTGCTGGTCCACAAACATTTTAGCAGCACTTCTCCATTTCTTGTCCGTAGTTCCTTTCCTCCACCTATCCCCGTTCTTCCAACTTTATTTTTCCTCTTAGCATTTACCAATTCTTTTTAGCAAATGATGTATCTATTTTCTCTCATATATTGAGCAGGCACCTTATCTGTCTTAATCCCTGACCCCCAGAACCTAGAGTAGTAGATTGAAAGACTTCCCCCACGACCCCTCTGGTCCTGGTTCTCAGGAGCACTGTGGCCACCCCCACCCCACCTGTCTCCTGTGTCTCATCGCACTCAGTCGCCTGGCTCTCATTGATGTAGATGCTTCCATTTCGAATCAGCCACACGACCCCACTCAGCAGCTGCACAAATGGATTCTCAGTGTCCAGCACCTCCTCTTCAGACAGGTACCTGGACACAGGGAAGGTGTGAGGTTCACTTACCAGCAGGGGCAGCTGTGGGTAGTGAGGCTCCTTTCCCACCCCACCCCCAACAGCTTGACTGCCTGATTTCTCCTCATGCCTCAGGAACCTGCCTGGTCCTAATCCCAAAAGCAGCCTTATAAACAGTCTACACCAGTGGTTCTCAACCTTCCTAATGCCGCGACCCTTTAATACAGTTCCTCATGTTGTGGTGACCCCCAACCACAAAATTATTTTCATTGCTACTTCATAACTGTAATTTTGCTACTGTTATGAACCGTAATGTAAATATCTGATATGCAGGATGTATTTTCATTGTTATAAATTGAACATAAGTAAAGCATAGTGATTAATCACAAAAACAATATGCAATTATGTATGTGTTTAGGCGACCCCTGTGAAAGGGTCGTTGCGACTCACAGGTTGAGAACCGCTGGTCTACACAGTCCATTGTCCTGGCCAAGCTACCCCGGATGCCAGTACAGCTCTTAACTGACCTCCTTGCTTCCACTATGGCCCTCCAGTCTCATCTCAAAGTCAGTCCTGCCATCTGATACTCTGCTCCTTCCTTCCGTCCCTCACACACACCAAGCCCCTCTGCCCTTCTGTGCGTTAGCGCTTGCTGTTCCTTCTGACTGCAATGCTCTTCCTCCAGGTCTGACCCTGGCTGACATGTGATTCATTTTCAAGCCTCCACTCAAAGATCACCTTCTCCAACAAGCCTTCCCTGATCTCCCTCCCTAAAATCAACACTCTGTTTACAACCGGTTCACCGGGTTCATTGCTTCACTGCACATACACAATCTGAATTCATCTTAATGATCTCCCTGGCTTTTGCTTTTCCTAGTAATGGGAGAGGTCCGTGAAGGCAAAGACTGTGTGTACTCGTTCACTGCTCCACATGTCCCCAGTGCACAGTCCCCTATACAAACAAGCGCTCCATGACAGTGGATGACAGCTAAGCCCTGCAAGGAGGGTATTCCTCACCCCCTTCTGCGGACCAGGAAACGGAGGCTCAGCTTGATTAGGTTGAGCTGAACATGGCAGTACGGACACAACCCCAACCTCAAGCCCTCTACCCACGACAGTCACGGGGTTTCCTGCCCCCTCACCCGGTGACCAGGGTCCCGTCGCGGCGGATCCCGAACTGCGCGTTCTGCAGGCCCCCGGA